CTCTCTCCCTCCCTCCCTCCCATTCTGTCTGAAAAATCAATGGTAAAGTGTCCTCGGGTGAGGATTAAAAAAAAATTTTTTTTTGCAAATGTGGCTTCAAATTCCCTAGTGCTGCAACCCCACCCCAACCATCCCCCTTATCCTAGTTTTCCAGAGTGCCCCACCCTAAACCCCTCCCTACGGAACTCTGGAGCCCCTGGTCCTGGCAAGAGCAGCTGCACCCAGCCTTCCTCGGGTACATGCTGGGCACCAGCAGTAAAGGCAGGCTGGTCCCTCCAGCGCCCCAGGGCTGGACAGGAGGACTGGTGGGTGACCCCACCTCCACGGCCAGCTAGCAGTGACACCTTCTGCTTCTCAGCCCAGTCAGGGTAGGTACCACTCAAATGAGTTATGTGCTCGTCACTCAAATTTTACATGGTCCAGACTAATGTCTCAGGCTCTCCCAGCAAGTGACGATGGGCTCCTTTCCTCACACTGGAAGGGAACTGCTTAAAGCGGCCACCGCCTTTTTATTTAAATTTATTTTTTCTTTATTGAGTTTAGAGAGAGAGGAAGGGAAAGGGAGAGAGATAGAAACACCAATACCAGAGAACATCAACTGGCCGCGTCCTGCATGCCCCACACTGGGGATCGGGCCCACAACCTGGGCATGTGCCCTGACCGGGAATTGAACCGGTGACCTCTTGGTGCATGGATCAGTGCTCAACCACTGAGCCACACCGGCCAGGCCCACACCTTTTTAACAAGGCTACTTTCACTTCAAGCACAGCCCATGCCTGAGTGAAGTAATGCTATCAGGACAATCTGCGTCCTGCCTTCCATAGTTCCGTGTTGGACAAGATCCCTGGATCAGGTATACCAGAAAAGCCCCGCAGAGCAACGGCCGAAAGGACCCGATGACACAGGAAGGAGAACGTTCTCTGCCCGGCTCCAGTGGGGCAGCATCGCGGGCAGAGTCCCCAGGGGCCCGGCCTCCCGCAGCCTCCCGGACACGGAAGGGGAAGCTGCCTCTGCTACCTTCTCCTTCATAAGCAAACAGTTCTGCGACTGGGCAGTAAAGGCTCTGCGGGTGGAGCTCTTCTTGACAAGCGAGGCAGAGCCACGGCTGAGCCAACGTGGAAGCATTAAGAAGGCCGGCAGGACCCTAGGCCCGCAGGAGGCAGACGGCGGAGCACAGGCAACGGTGTGAACTAGGCCCACGCGGGGAAGCATTCGAAGGAAAGGGCTTAAATGTCCTTGTGTCCTTTGAAGATGAAGAAATGTTATACTTACAAGCATTTTATAAGATAATAAATGATAAAGAACCCCACATGGTAATATAAATAGCAGTGGGACAAAGGGAACTTAAGCCTTAACCAGAATTATTTTTAACAAGAAAGTATATTTATATAATACCTGTATAATTCAACATTTTTATCATTATTATCATTATTGTTGTTATTTTTTTTAATCCTCACCTGAGGATATTTTTCCATTTATCTTCAGATAGAGCAGGAGGGAGAGAAAGAGGAAGACAGAGAGAGAGAGAGAGAGAGAGAGAGAGAGAGAGAGAATCATCGATGTAAGAGAGACACATCAATTGGTTGCCTCCCACACGACCCCAACTGGGGCCAGGGACAAACTGCAACCGAGGTACCCTTGGTTGGAATCGAACTCAGGACTCTTTGGTCTGCAGGCCGATGCTCTAACCACTGAGAAAACCAGCCAGGTCTAATTCAACATTTTTAAAAGGCAGTAAAAGTAGTCATGGAGATAGAATCCAGTAAGATGTAATGTGGATAAGCCCCACTGTGATATATTCAATACTATTTAGATTAAGAGCTCTATATTATAACAATAACTACATATAAGGAAAGCTTGGTGTAAAAGCAAGTCAGAAGAGAAGGTAGTACAGTCCACGTTCACGTGTGCATGCAGTATGTGCTTTGAAAGGAGTAGTTTCATAGAAACTAATGAAGCAACCAATATCTCCAACATAACCTTCTATTCATTTCTCTATTCAAATGAGACAATCACCACTACCACCATCACAACACTTTTTTTTTTTAATCCTCATTCCAGGATATTTTTCCATTTATCTTCAGATAGATTGGGGGGGTGGGGGGAGAGAGAAATGGATGTGAGAGAGACACATCGATTGGTTGCCTCCCACATGACCCTGACCAGGGCTGGGGATTGGACCGCAACCAAGGTAGGTGCCTTTGACCAGAATCAAACCCAACACTCATTGGTCTGTGGCCTGACACTCTAACCACTGAGCCAAGCCAGTCAGGGCCCATCACATTTTTATTCTGGGGAAAAAAAACGTGGCAAGTTGGATAAGAACATGTTTACTGTACATTCCTGTTCATCTTAGTAAGACCAGTAAGTACAGAAAGGTCCATTCATGTCCTGGAGTATCTTCTTACTCATCTAATAGAAAACAGACTTCGGAGAATTTAATAAATACCATAGTTTCATTTGCAACATGTTTTTGTTCTTTTCTCCCCCAAATATCCCTTTCTAATTTTTAAGAGCACCATGGGTTTATTTGGTTTTAACATAGCCTAAAAGTCAAATTGTTTTTAGAGTAAAACTGGGTAAGTGAAATCAGAACTAGGAAAGGGTGAATGAGAATGGGTACAGTGGGGAAAGGGTAAGGATTAAAAAGAAGAGGACAGTCCTGACCAGTTTAGCTCAGTGGTTAGAGCATTGGCCCGAGGATCAAAGAGTTACAGGTTCGATTCTGATCAAGGGCACATACCTTGGTTTCAGTTCAATTCCCGACCCTGGTTGGGGTCATGCGGGAGGCAACCAATCCATGTGTCTCTCTCACATCCATGTTTCTCCCTCTCTCCCTTCCTTCCACTCTATCTGGAAAAAAGGGGGGGGGGGACAGTTGTAGGGAAATGTGTAAAGAAAATGTCTATGCCGAGAAAATCAGCAAGTCAGTAAGCTCTGTTCTAGAGAACTATGAGACAAATGATGGCCTTAATGTTTGATAGCCAGAGTGTTGATGGCTAAGGGCTACTACTCATATAGAAGTCTAGAACAACACTAGACAATTAAACTCTCTGCTGTGATGGAAATGTTCCATTCTGTGCTGCCCAATCTGGTAGCTACTAGCCACATGTGGCTACTGAGCTCTTGAAACGTGATTAGTGCAACCAAAAAAATGAGTTTATTTTCTCTAATTTTAATTACATTAATTATAAATAGCCACATGAAGCTAGTGGCCACTGGATTGGACAGTGCAGGTATAGAAATGGGGCTGTAATTCCAAAGCCTTGTTCTGAAGCTTCAGCAAATCATTCATTTCATTTATGTTGAATATAATTGGCACACGTGAACTAAGGAAGATTTCACATAAGACACAGCTCTCGTTGCCTGCTCCGTGCCATGCTTTTCACTTCTGGATCAGTTTAATGTCTCTCTGCTCGGTCAGAAGCTACCAGGAGGATAGAGAGCACTGACCTATCTCATTCACCTCCATCCTGGCGTGTACCAGGGCCCAGCACATTGTACACTCCGAATAAACACTTGTTCACTGATCAAACATCAGAGAAGTCAAAAAGGAAGCGTTGTTCTTGGAAGGATTAGGAATAGAAAGATGTTCCTGCATACCTGAATCTCACTTTTTAAACTGTTTCTGGGTTGCATAGAACAACGGTATTCTTGGTAACTAACCCAACCTTTCCCCACTATAATTTCCTTCTGCTCATTACTCACACAAAAGGAAGCAATGTTTCTCACCAGTTTTACATATTCAAGATTACATTTTTATTTTAAAAAATCAATTATTTCATGATTTTCCTACAATGAATCACTTCTAAGCCATTATAAGCCAGTATTCCTTTGATTCTTCCCTAAAAAAAAGATCAAGTTTGCTTGTACCACTTAGCTGATATTCCACAAGCTGAATAGAGGATCTCCGAAGGCACACTGATTAGAAGTGGTTTATAACATCCTCCTGACTGCTTTGCTTACAATGCAAAATATTATATGGAAGAGTATATATATTTGTAAACAAAGCATGTATATACACACCCATATCTACACATACATACCCACATATATAGCTATACACACACATGCACTATTCAGCTTCCAATTATCAAGTCCTTTATCACACATTCTATCTACCTACCTAGTTCTACTCTTACAGCCTTGTAACTATGGCGGTCAGAAGAACTACATTAGATTTCTAGCTCTTCCACCTTTTTAGAGATGTATGCACTTTGGGGCAAAGTACTTAAAGCCTCTGGGCTTCATAGGCTTGTTGAAGGGAGTAGACAGTGAATTAGCCACGAAAGCACCAGGAAGAGTGCCGGAGGCACGGCAGGTGCGCTGTGTGCTGTGTGAATGACTCTTGGCGTCTGTTTCTTGGGACCTCTTTGAGATGCTTACCAACTCCCTGCGAATGGACAAGAGTTGGTTATCTTCTGGGTTAACATGAGCAGGCTCTGAAGATTACAGGCAGATTTAAGGGCAAGCTCCTGACCAGGGATTGAAGAAACAAAGATATAACACAGTCTTAAGAAAATGGTGGAAGAACTCACTGAAAAAAGACATGTCTGCTGTCTGATACAGATCAAATGAAAGGCCTTTCTCTTTGTAAATGGTTCAACTCAGGCTACCTTCGTGGACCCAAATCCTAGTTTACTGTCTGTCTCTAACTGTGGCTAATCTGTTGTCTGTTTAATCTTCAAAGTAGGAAAGATCACAAAACCACTCACTAACCAGCCTCCAAACTTCACATTTGGTAAATCTGATTTCTACACCTCTTCCTATCTGTTTTACAGCTTCTTCAACTCTCAGATAGCATTTATACATAGAACTGAGGTAAATAGCAGCTCTAGCAGTTTGTATCAAGAATCCAGAGGTGTGTAGCAATAAAGCAGTCCTTTCAAAAGTTAACCTCTGTCTTTTATTTCTAGACTCCGTTAGGGAAGTACAGAGAGTCCAGATCCTAGGAAATAATGTCAAGAGGAAAGAGGGGCATTCACGGCCCTGAACCATACCTCCGCTTCCTGCAGGGTCCCGTGGTTTAGGCACACCATGTCAGGGCAAGTGATGGGAGACCCACATCCGTCTCGGATCGCCAGCTGCATGTACTGTTTCAGGCACTAAAGTGAAGAAGAAAAAAGACAGACAATTACCCACCTGTTACAGCAGCACAAAGGTTACAACCACCACTGCCTTTTCTTCCTTACTTGGCAGTTCTGGGGCACTGGTATTCAGAAAACATAAATTATCACAAGTCTGAATACTAAGAGCCATCACTTTGGAAAGAAGGCAAAGACGGCCCTGGCCAGTTTGGTTCAGTGGTTAGAGCATCAGTGTGCAGCCCAGAGAGTCCCAGGTTCGGTTCCTGCTAAGGGCACGTACCTCGGTTGCAGCTTGTCCCCAGTCACGGTTGGGGTTGTGCGGGTGGCAACCAGTCGATGTGTCTCTCTCACATCGATCTTTCTCTCTCTCATGTTGATCTTTCTCTCTCTCTTCCTCCCTCTTTCCCTCCTGCTCTATCTGAAAATAAATGCAAAAAATGTCCTCAGGGGAGGATAAAAAAAGGCAGAGACAGGCAATTTGGTATGACTTCATCCTAAGAATATTGAGTTTATTCAAAGCAACAAGTCAAATTCCTATAGGCTCACATTTTATCCATCATAGATTGGGAAAAGAAGAAATACTTTTTATTACTAATGGCAAAGCCTTCTTTCTACTTTTTTTTTTTTTTTTTAACTATGTGACTTCCAGTTTAATTTTTATCCAGTGGACCTCTCCCTCAAAGTTTGCCCAGAAGTAGAACTGTGACCCTTGTGCTGAACTAGCCAAACAGAAACAAAATGAAATTAAGGCACTGACTTTTCCAGGAACATCCTTAACAACAAATACACCTGGAAAAGGTGATGTCAAAGACAATTTGGGAGAAGGAGACCTTCCCAAAATTATGGGCCTGGGTGAATGCTATGAGGAGGAGGTTTGAGTAGAACCTGGAGTAAAGAAGAAACTGATAAGAAAGAGAAAAAAAAAAAAAAACCCAGAGAAGAGAAAAGGAAGAAGACCAAGGTCAAACTCGATCTACTCATTGCCTGTTGCACCTGGATCTTGGGCGGTGGGCGGAGAATTGAGTCAGACTGAGAAGGTAGGACAGGACAGACAGCATTATGGAGATCTCTAACTCCTCCCTTCCCCTTCCCAACCCACTCCACTTGCCCATAGGAAGATGGAGGCCATAGATTCAGAAGATAAAGCTCTTAAGAAATCTGTAAGTTGGTTTTTCAATTTCTACAAATCTGCTCATAGTTGGTCAGCTCTTTTCTATGATGAAAAACAATCAAGCTCAAATGTTTGAGAAAGACACCTCCAGAATACATAAGTTAGTTAGTGAATTGATGACTCTTCCAAAGCAATCTTATAATTGAGTTCAGATCTTTCAAATTTACACATTTATGTATCAACCTGCTACATGTAAAATATTTCTGTTGCGCCAACCTTTTATAAAAGCTTAATTACTAAACAAATGTTATGGTTTGAATACCAATGGCATAATTGTGAAATTTATTGCTTTCATTGACCATCTTTATTCATTTTCCCCATCTGAAAATAAAACTGATACCACAACTGTATTTCAGAAAAATAACCATGTATTTATCTGACTAAAATTACTGTTACAGTGTACTAATGAATCAACGATTAGGGTAAACCATTTAAACCACATTTGCATCTCTTCCAGTACTTAATAATTAATTCCCTTCTCCAAGGAGGCCATTTTTTTCTGTGATGTTCATCACAGCGAAAAAGGGAAAAAAAAGCAACCTGGAAAATAACCTATATACCCAAAATAGAAGAACACATAAATAAATTATGCTACATTCATGCAGAAAGCTGAAGAATCATGAAAACGATTTTCAAATGATGTGACAAGTGGATAAACCATGTAAAAGCCTGTGCCCCTCACTCTGCTCCTACGGACCTCTCAGACTTCCACCTGCCACACACAGTCACTGTTCCTGCCTTCATCTCTCCAGCTGCCACTTGAAAGTTAAGTAGAAAGACTCTGAAAATACACGGTCTCTAGGCTCAAGGGGAAGGTATCTGGGGAAGTGAACATCAAATCCTAATAGCTGGCCTTTAGCCCCAGCACCACGCTGTCAGGTGACAAGGGGAAAATGACTTAAATTATGACCCAGACATGCTTCCCTTAATTTTTAAAATGGGAACAACAGTACCTGTTATGGTTACCTCACAGGGTTTAAAACTAACTCACACACACAAACACAAGCCTGAAATTTTATGTATGGAAACAGTTTGAAAATTTGCAAATTACAGGATATTAGTCATATTTCTACTCTACCTCACCTGTCTTAGACTTTCTCTGAAAAACGTTGAGGGGAAATGTTAATCCTTTGACCTTCTCAGATGATCCTTTCTCCACTCCCTGCAGGGGACCAGTTAAACCATTTCTGTGGAGAAGTTCCACAGACAGAACAGATATTTGTAATAGAACATCCATACACCTCTACTTAAGCCTCCTTAGAACTACTTAGGTCTATACATAAAGCTTACAGTTAAATAGGAACTAAAGACTATATGAACCCTGGCTGGTTCAGCTCAGCAGTAGAGCATGGGCCCATGGACCAATGACTCTCAGGTTTAATTCCGGCCAAGGGCACATACCTCGGTTGCGGTTCATCCCCAGCCCAGGTCAGGGTTGTGCGGGAGGCAACCACTCGATGTGTCCCTCTCATATCGATGTTTCTCTCTCTCTCCCTCCCACTCTATCTGAAGATAAACAGAAAAACATCCTCGCGTGAGGATTAAAAAAAAAAATACTATATGAGTCTTCATAGGGAAAAAAAAATTCATTTCTATTTAGATTGCAGATTTGTTAAGTTGAATCTAAGCTTTCCCAAGAGTTCACAATAAATGCTCTATTTGCTAATGCAATGTTCTTAGGTACAATGCCACCACAATACATAAACCCAGTGAACGTTTATACTTCCCACAAGCACTCTCCTGGCCACAATATTACATGACCCGTGACTTTAGGAGAGAAGTCAGAGCTGTACACACCAATGGCAGAGTGTAATTATGTACATCCTATATAACCCCATTTTTAAATGCTAAGAAACACTGGTTCAAGAAAGGGATCTGTGAGCACACGTTGCTAAGTAATGCTCTGGCGCAGGCACCTGACACTCCATCACTAGGGGCCTGCATTTCTATTCTAAGGCAAAGAGAGAAAACAACCAGCTCTAGTTATTGCTTCTTATTAAATTTTCAAGTACCTCAGGTTCATGATGTGTCTTCTATTAGCTTGCACTAAAACTTGAGTGTCAAATGCTCCCTCTCTTCTTCAAAACCTCTAGCTAAAGCACAAAACACCTGAAAATATTCAAGTGAACCCCTGTGCATGTCATACAAATCAAACAATTCTTGAAGAAACTGGCATCTAGCTTGTACATAAAGACAGAGGAACACAGAAAGAGAAAGAGAAAAACAATCACCATCTAGTCACATTGAAAAAAAAATTACATCCTAATAAACAATAGCATTAACAAATGTCTAAATATGCAATTTTCAGAACAGCTAACAAATTCTAAGGGAAATGTTTCAAACAGAACATCTCAAATATCCTGATGACTAAAGAAAGAAAAAAACAACAACTTTTCTTTTAGATAGTCAACATTTCACTTAATTAGTTTGGTAGAACATAACATTTTTTAGGCCATGAAGTGTCATGTATAATAAGGATTGTTCCTGAAAATCATTTCACAATTCTCAAGGACTCAAATGGGATCTAACCAAGGATTTAACCATCCAACGCCCAGTGAACCAGATGATTTGTATTGTCTCTTCCAGCCCTGAGAGCCTATGGATTGTACAACAGAACTCTCCCAGAAAGAGGTTTTTCCTAGACACCTTTCAGAGGTGTTATTTTTCAGTGTACCAAAGGGCATTCTTTTTTTAAAAATGTTATGTATTTATTTGAGAGAGACAGTAAGGGAGAGCGAGAAAGAAACACCGACATGAGAGAGAAATACCCATCGGTTGCCTCCCAACCCCCCCGATGGGGGATTGACCTCGCAACCTGGGTATGTGGCCTGACCAGGAATCAAAAGCACAGGACAATGCTCAACCAACTGAGCCTCATCCAAAGGGCATTCCTCATAGGTGTTCTCATCTACTAGCTGGACAAGGCAAAAAGGACTACAACATTTAGATAACATTCCTAATAGATCCACCCAAAATAATATACATATGTGTACATATATATTTACTCTAAAGTTGCTCATTCTCTGTCACTAGATTATACCTTTCTTTAAAATTTGCTCTAAGGGAAAAAAACATTTTATGATTAGACAAGGGAACTGAATTCCAACAAAAGATTGAAGTACAAGCTCTAATGCTTTCCTTGGAATCTTGGGCAAGCCATTCAGGTCCTCAGCTACACTCCTCTCAATTATGAAAAGGGACAATACCACCTGCGGAGCCGACTCTCGCAGAAACGGAGATTATTCATGAAGGTAAATACATGAAACACAATGAAAAGTAAAAAGAAGTAAGTAAACGTAAAGTATAATTGGAGAACAGAATAGATGTTTCTGAAGTACAGGCAGGGATGCCGCAATGAAAGCCCCCACACAGATGTGACTCCGAGATTAGTCTCATGATGGTGAGGCAGGGAGGTAAAAAGAGAATATGTATTGTTGGGAGGAAGGAGGTAATGTGTACCATTAGTTGAAACTTTAAATTGATCCCCAGGCTCCTGGACGCTTCTGGATGCGGATGCTGGGGTTCGAGGTCCAAGAAGATCTGGCAGACCACCTGGACGGAAGCTGAGCTGGTGCACTATTGACCTCGGGTTTCTCAGTCCTAACTCAGCCATAGATGGGAAGTAAGGTGATGAGGGGGAAAGTACCTTGAGTACCTCTAAAAGTTTGCTTTTTATCATTCCTGGAACAACGATATACACTAAAATGAATATCTAATAAAATGTAGACCAACACTTCTCTGCCTCAGTACACAATTACATCATGTCTCAGGAGTGTTCTAAATAACCTTATATTTTAGGCCAATATTCTGCTTAGACTATGATCGCCACACATGATCCAAGAACAAA